TTTGTGCCTTGTTCAAGTGTAATTTTCATTTGACCTTTTGCAGTCCCCGAATCTCCGAATCGTCCTCAAAAGACAAAAAGATCTCGGCCAGTGGCAAATTGCTTATGAAATTGCAATTTCAGCTCACTCGGGGCACTGATTTTTATTTAATTTGGCCTGCAGTGCAAAGTATATCACATTACACGTACGGGGCAGCTATTTTGCATAGGATATCCAAGGCAAAAGGGGCCCATGAGTTCATCCGGTCTCGAATGTTATTTACTGAAGTTGCAAATCCCCAAAATGCCTCTGGCCGGGCGGTCCGAAAGTTTTGTTGTTTATCAACTGGCAAAAGGTGGTTCGGGTGGCCTTTTTTTTGGTCCGAAATCAAGAATAATGGTCCCATTGGGCATTCCAACTACGTGTCGGTAGTGTGTGTCCTGGGATACACTCCAAAAAGTCTATATGATTTGTATGCAAAGTGCTGGGGCGGCCGACTCATGCCTCACAGAGTTCAATTTCATCCAGTGAATCCAGTGTTTGTGCTTTGCAGCTCCTAGTTGGCCATATTGATAAGTTCTGCCAGCGACAGATTTGATTAGACATGCTGGTCAAAGTTTTGGCAAAACCCACACACATATCTGCTCTTCGGACTCTGCGCAAATAGTTTGAAACGACATTAGCTACCTGGGCGAACATCATATGTTGCATTCGGATGAGTTTATTTGATTTCTTCTGCCACATCTCCCGAGATGCATTCAACTGCGAGTGTCATGCCGCAAATGCAATTTGCTTTGGCCATCCATATATATGGCAAAACTCCAGCACTCACTACCTTGTTTTCCTGCCAGAAGAGGACGAGATCCCAGCACATGCATCAAACAAATTCGATAGCCTTGCCATCGCATAATAAGCGTAAACGTTGGCTAACAAGATTCATGCTACGCTTTTGCGCCCAAGAGGCAAACATGCAATGACCATCAACGAGGTCCAGGGACCAGAAACCAGGACCTCCGAACGTCCGACCATCCTACCATCCCACCATCCCACCGTCATACCATCCTTCTATCCAGCCAACAAATGACTATGACGCGACCGGTGGCCAGCGAATGTCGCGCGCTTAATGCAACTTTGTTGCTGCCGCTGCTGCTGTATGCTGCCTGTCCAGCTGCCTTGGAGTCCTTGGTCGGCAGCGATTGAAAAATCCCACTAGGGCGTTTTTAATTGGATTTTAAAATACTTGTCCCATGCAGCAGTGTGGCACTGGAAGCGGCAGGCAACATCAGGCATCACAGGCGTAGAGAGATGAGATGATGCGGGGGTCCTGGCCTGGCCATAACATGAGCCTGCACCTCCCGGCGGCGACCGACAAGGCCAACATATCGACCGAAACCCCATTCAGGGGACTTTCGGGGGGAGGAGGGCCTCAACACGCTCGTTATCCTTGTTTCCTGCTGTAGCTGCTGTCCCGATGTCCTGCTGCCATTGCTCCTGGCCCTGCTGCTGCTCCTCCTTCTACTGCTCCTGCTGCTGCTGTGCACAATTTGGTTACGTGTTTGACCGGCGGCGATTTTTCATGGCAAGGCATTTTTTTGAGGGAGCGGGGAAGGGTGGTGGGATTCGGGCTTCCCATACATTAATGGCATTGCAAATTTGTATTGCAAATGTGCAAGTTGTGGCCAAGCATGAATACGACCCCCTCAGATGCCCCCCATAAATTTAATCGCATGTGTTTCCCCGAAATCTCGTGCAACTCAATTGTCGCAGCATATCTCTTTTTTGGGGGCCATCAAGGATTGACCCATTAGGGGCAAATGTCGTCGGGCAACCAGATTGCACTCAAAATCGAGATAAAGCGATAAATTGCAATCAGTAGAAGCCGGTGATTAAAATAAACTTATGCTCGAAGAAGCCTAAAGAGACTTCTGGCTGAATTAAGACGGCGGACAACTTTGTGTCACTATAATTTTAATGACAGCTCAACTTTTGCATTAGCATTAGCATATTTGATTAAAAAGTGTCATTAGGCTCGGCTCCTCAGTTCTCCTCGGATCTCTGAGCAGCTGGCTGCGTCATTTCACGCTTCACCGGAAGTTGCACAAGACGCTAAAAACTTGGCGCACTTGCTCACATTTTAATTTCAACTAATTGCCGAGAATCAGGGAATCATCATCATCCCGCCGCTCCTGGCCGTTAAGTAATTAAGGCGTTGCACTTTGTTGGCTGAATGAAAAGAAGAGCGGAGTGTTGTCCTGCAACCTGTCCTTTTGCACTAATTGTTAAAAGTGTTGTCCGTTGTCCGTCGTTGCCTTGACTTGATTTGTATGTAGATTCAATTTTCCTGCTCCGACTTCAAAGCAAAGCTGATGAGGTCGGATTTGGACTGGCCACTACCATCCCGTCCGTCTGAGTCACCTCTTTCGCTGACTAATTTGCTTTTAATTAATATAATGACTCCAAGTTTGACAATTATCCGTGATGTTGAGCGACCGCCTGCAAAGGGTAAATAATCAAATGGTTCCCGGGAAACGGGTAACGGGAAAGTCAACTAAGCCAACGGAGGCACCCAGATGTAGATGTCTTCGAACTTCAGTCAAAGACATACAATTAGCCGGCTGGCAGAGAATCCACACTGTTTGTTCAAGATGCTAATGAATGTCCAACTTTCGGGGGCGAATGCGAACGAAACTTTTCCATAAATACGAAATGAGATATAGAACTTACGCACTTGCGAACACGGCTAAGTGATCTAACAATGGAAACATTTATAAAGCTTTTCCTGATATCTTTTTCGGGCTCTCTTGTTCGAGGTGTTCGAACATTTTAAGCCTGCACCCCCCGAAAAGTAAAGTTTGCTCTTCACAAAAGTTATGCCAAGAAAAATACATTTCACATAAAGCGAAAAAAGCCTTCATCAAAATATATACAGAAATAACAAAAACAAACACAAAGAAACAAAAAGGACACAAGAGCTACAAAAAATGGAAAAGGAAAATCAACTTTGATTTAAGTTTACAAAAATGCTTAGCAATTGCCTTGCTTTTTTAACTTTTTGTGTTTCTTGTTCTGTATGTTTTTTTTATTCCGTTGTTCTCTTTCATTTTTCAGCTGTGTGGATTAACTGGCAAGAAAATATTTTATTTTTTATTGCTTAGCAGCGCTGATTTGCACTCTTGTGTCCCTCGGTTTCAGCCAACCCCCCCGAAACTCCCAACCTCCCAATCCCAATTTCTGTCCGCTGGTTGGGAAGGGAAAAAATTCTGGATTTTGTTGTCACTTCAACACACAAAACATAAAATACACAAGAGTCGCGTCGAGTCGGGCCGAACAAAAATCCACTTGAATTTTTTACACTTTATTTTTTGTACATTTGCAACAAGGCGAATAAAAGGGAATTTTCCCTTACAGCCCAGTCCACTTTTTTATTTTTTCGCTGTTGCTCTTCGCGCTGTTTGCACGCGAAATTTGTGCTTGTCTGCCTTTCGGCTTGTCAGCTCGCATGTTGCATGGTTTTAGGCGGGATTTGTTTTGCCGCCACCCCCTTTCTGCCCCGTGGAATAGCGTCAACTACAAAGGCAACAACAGCAGCAGCAACAGCCAGCAGCCCAAGCCGCAATTTGGACACCCATCCTGTCCGAACCCTCGACGGGCCGAGGGTTCGGGAATTAGACATTTGGCAGGGTTTTCCGACTCTCGGCGACTCCCACCCCCAGCGCTTTCCCAGCTGAAGGGTCTTAATTTTCAGCATTGTTGATGCTTTGCGTACAGCACAGAAACAACAGATGAAGAGCCGTAGAGCAAGGGTTAAGCTAGGCCTTAATTAATTCCTTGGCGGCGGGGTTAAAAGGTAGAGAGTGTGCGAACATGGAGGTTTTTGGGCTTGATTCAAAAGAAATCAGTTGCTATGAGTTTCAGCTGAAGTATACGACGTCCATAGAGAAAATGACTTCTAACCCTTAAAACTAAAGAATTCGCGTTTTCAAGCATTTCATTTACATTTGAAAGAAATTAAACAAATATTTTTTAAATATTTTTTATTTTTGATTAATATTATAATTTTATTCAACTGAACCAGTTTTGTGACAGGTTTAGTTAAGTTTAAAATAATAAAGTTTACGTTTCAATAGTAAATTTCAAAAATATGGCCGGAAAACCAATTCCGGCATCTAAATGGAACTATTTGTAAATGCAAACGAAACCTCTTAATTTGTTCTCAATTTACAAATGTAAAACAATGCTCGAAGCCATCGAGCATTACCGCATTTTTAAATCGCTTTCAAGCACCGGCTTACATGTGGAATAAGCCCCGTTTATTCCCATCACACTGCGCTCTTTTCGAGGCCCCTGCCGCTGTTTTTGCCCCTGGAAGGTCCTTACTTTTTGTGGTTATTACTGTATATTAAATTAGCATAAATGATTTTTAATAATTATGCCATTGAAGCCGGTCGCCCTTCTCGAACCACTCCAGCTGCGCCCGCTCTATTGTGATTCCCCTCCCTTCCGCCAGCTGGCACCCACAAATTACAATATAATGAGCGAGCAAGTGCAGCGGAATTTATTTTTTTTTTATTATTTTTCGGTTCAGTTTGAATTTTACATTCCATCCAGTCCCGGCCAGCGCAGGCCGACTATTATTTTTATATAATGGGCGTTGATGGGCGATTCCGAATCCCTGATACCGCCCACCGTCGATGTTGATTTTCATGCAAGAGTGCACGAGGCGATTCTTGCAAAAATGTTTTTTAATTGCACTTAAAATTTTATTTAAATGCCCCGCACACATGTCGAGGCTGCGCAGCTGTAGCCACACATCTGACCTCTTCACCCGGGCTTTCGAATCGGTATTTATGGAATGTTTACTGATTTTTAAATTCAATATTCCGTACAGTACGAATATTCACAAGTGGCACTGAGTGAAGTGCCTGCCACACTGAAGAAATAACTTACATATGCATAAATAAATTCCCTTTATAACCATTGAGACATTAGATTCTAATCAACTTTTAATGTTTCACTTGCAGGCTGCGCTTTCGTCAAATTTGGTTCGCAGCAGGAGGCCCAGTCAGCAATAACCAACCTACACGGAAGTCAAACTATGCCGGTAAGTGGGGGATAAACGGCTTTGATAATACTCGGAATGGTTTCCAAAAACTGTGGCTCCCACTCGCCTTGTGAAATTAGAAAATTGTGTTTTTCTCCGGCCAAGGCATCGTTCCTTGATGGCACTTGTGTGCGAATAATACGAAAATAATGAAATTTCAAACCTGAAGTATGCGTACTCAAGTTGTTGTACTCGACGCCGGGTGTTGTTGCCGATTCTCATCGTTGAAAAGTACTTAGCAAACTTCATTTAAGCTACAAGTACCGACCGTTCGCCCCAAGTTGCCATGATTTATAAATAAAATTAGAATTAAATTAAATGCCGTATTATTATTTTTTCCTTTTACGCCGCACTTCAATGGCAAATCAAGAAGCTCGTTCTACTCTAATTTTCTAAAAAGAAAATACAAAGGGAAAAAAATAAATCAAAATAGCTTTTGGCACAAGAGAGGGGAAACCCGAGCAGAGCGAAAGCGAAGGTTTCCCGCCAAGTGACTTCATTATGCTCGAATTTTGTAAGGAATCACCATATAGAGCCGAGATTGCGGCCGTAGCTACATAGCGCTATATAACCGAAGAAGCCGTATAGAAGAGCCGTTAGCTCTATGACAACGTAGCCCGGGAATTATTTCTCTTCTCTTCCCTTTTTTTCTTGCCTTGCTGCTTGCGAAAAATAAATGAAATTTGCATGACACTTGAGTTATTTTGCACGTAAATTGCTTCTTTTGACAAACAAACAAGCAAATACACAAACCAGCTGCTGGGGGAGTGGGCGGTGGGCGGTAGGTGGGTGGAGGTGGAGTGGTAGTGGCTGAAACGCTGCCATTGTTGTATTTTCGGTGTTTACAGCCAGGCAGTCAGTGCAATCCCAAGTCTCCTCCAAGTCCCAGGACCACTGGTGGTCCTCATCCGCAGTCCCCATCCCCATCCTCGTCCTTTTTCGCTCTTCACTCCTTCGGCAAACGAATTTTACATTTTGGGTTTTGTGTGTTTGCGGGTTGCTCGGCTCTCTCAAGTCGACAACTCGTTGGCGCATTTAAATTCAAATTCAAATATTGTTGATGAAATTTGTTGCTTAATTTGCAATTTAGATGCGTTTTTAAACAAACGCCGCGGCGCTTCCAGAGAAATCATGTGTTTACTTAGGCGGAAGTTGATGATGATGAAGGATAACGGCTGGCACGTAATTACAGTCCTTGGTTTGTGGCGAGAAAACTGGGTGGCGCCGAACCAATGACACTTGCCGTTGGCCAAAAGTTACACATTCTTCAAACGGACTTGCCAAAGCAAATACGCACTGGCGAAACTTCAAAAATATAGCCGCAAGTGAGGCAAACAAACAATTGACGACGTTTGAAGGAGAACCCAATTCGAGTCAAAGGAAAGTGCAAACAGAGAACAGAGCGGCTTAAGTCAATTTCAATTTCAGAACGCAAAACCGTCACATTTTATGGCTGATTGCAGTCGTCGATACACAACAAATCAAAGCATCGCCGCAGGCTGAATTCAATCGAAAAGGGCTGTTCAATCTAAGATGAAATCCGTGTAAATTGCTATCTACCCGAGAACATTACCATAATTTTTGTCTACCCTTCATACTTCTACCCCCTTTTCGACCTCGATGGTATTAGCAGGGGAAGGGGGATATCCGCTGGAGGCCTACAGCCAACTGCACTTTACCTCCAATTACGCCGGAATGTGACTCAAACTCATTCCGGCACCGGCACCTTTTGCCCGGAGCGTTACACGCTTGGAATGCCTGACCTGGCCTGCCCCGCCCCCTTTCGTCCTACCCCTTGACCTGCCACGCCCCTGTACTAACACAACACACAGCTGCAATTTTTCACCTGGCCAATTTTTAAGATGAGCAGGACCCCCGTAAAAGACGACGCTGGCAAATTGCTGCCCTGCTAAAAAAAAAAAGAAGGGAGAAGGAAAAGGGAGTTGTACATTTTTCTACTTGCTTTTTTAATTTTAAGAGCAAGTAAGTACACATTTTTTGTACCTTTTTTCGCAGCCCGCCTGCATTAAGCATTTTAATGTCAGTTTGCCCTCGGTTCCACGGCTGTAATTGCAATTTGGCATTACGACTGCGGTGCGGCAGGGGGCTGAGGTAATTAGCGCAAAACGACGCCAGCTGCTGTGTTGTATAAAAATTTTAGCTACGTTTTTTCCCCTGCGAAAGGCATATATACATTAATTATATGGCCAAGTGCAGTGCGGCTGGAGTTGAGGAATGGCCCAAAGGGGCCCCGAATTGATTGCCTACCTGCAGGCGTCAAAGTTGCGCCAGACAAAACCGCAAGTTAATTTTAAGCTTAACAAAGTCCACTTCCCAGCCTCTGCCTCCGCCTCCGCCTTTCATGTTGATGTTCTGTTACCACAGAAAGCTTTTAAAAAACGAGATGCAGAGGAGGAACATTTTTTGATTACGCCAAACCTTAAGCAGCTTATGAACGCCCCCGGTCCAGGAATGGGATGGAATGGAATGGACCGAGCGCTCATTAAAAAGGAATTTGCAGGGCGAAAATGGATGGACAGACCAGAGAATCCCCATCCCCATCCCCACTCACACGTTCGCTCCCTTGTTAATCTCTTGGCACTCAACATGTTATAAGTCGCTTTTAGTGCGGTTGGCAAACGTTTTCTAAATGCAAAAAAAAAAACTGGAAAAATACACATTCACTGTGCAAAGGGAGACAGAGCGAAAAAAGTTTACAGTTTACAGTTGTAAACAATAATTTCGTATTCACTCAACACCCACACACACACGCACACCGCCATTTGCATAAGCCGCTGATGCGATTTTTTGCTGTCCGTGCCGTGGGCGCGGCTTAGAAGTGGGCGTGGCCCGAACACTTGTTAATGAAAGCGCGCGCATGCATTAAAGCTGCCTTTGCCTCTAAATGCTTTTGATTGACGAAGCGAAAAAGCCGCCCAACATGCATAGCAACATAAAAAAACGGAGTGAAAATAGAATTTAAAATAAAAACTGTCACCCTTCAGGGGGGAAATAGAAATGGAAGTAACGCCCGTAAATAAATTCTTCAAGTTGCGAGCAGAGTTACTGGAAATGAGGACACACAACAGTCCCGCACCTTTGACAGCTTTCGGAGTTCCGAATAAATTAGTCAATTAGCATTTCTATTTTTATTTGTTCAGCTGGGTGGAACCACAAATAGCGGCCAATATGGTCGGGGGGAGAACCTTGTCGCACCTTGCCAAGGAGAAACACATGTTCCCAGCCAGTCGTCATCGTCATCATCATCATCAAAGACATTCTTCCCAGTTTGCTTGGTGCGCATTTAAATTTCAAATTAATTTCTCGCCATGTGAAGCTGAAGCGAACACAAAAAAAAGGGAAAGATTGAGGGAAATAAGAAATCTGCAAGCTGACAACGCGCACACACACATAGCGGAGTGCCAGATAAATACGAGGAGAGTCCGCGCTGTCCCCAAAAATGATATGCCACCTCCCTTCCGACCCATCAAACCTGTTTTCACAGTCATTTCGCAGAACGGGCGCCGTAAAATATGCAAAAGAAGAAACATTTTTGCGCGCAGCTCGATTTTTTCTTCTCCTACTTTCGCCGGCTCCTTGGTCGTTTTGTTTGCTCTGCTCATGGCTGGATTGACGCAACATATGCCACATGCCAGTGCCATCGTCGAATGTTGTGCGACTGCTGCCGTTCTTGTTGTTCTTCTCGCTTTTTGTTTTCCTTCCCTCGATGTGTGTGTGTGTGCTGTGTGTGTCTCGCATCAATTATGCTTTTATTTATACAACAATTTTCGTTCTGCTGGCCGTTCAATTTTCGTCAGCAGTCGACGGGCAGAACGAACAAGTCGAATAAGAGCGCGCTGGCTTAATGCGACTTGACAAAAATGGCGCCCAACGCGGGGCATTGCCGTGCCGCACAAAAATGGCGCCCAACGTGGGGCCGGCAGAGCGCTGCGGCTGCTCTTCCATATGGAGGTAAAGCTGCGGAGGAATGGGAATTTCTTCTGCTTAACGCTTGAGCGACGCCCACACACACACACACACGTGTATCGCACCTTGGCGCGTCAAGCTGACGACCAAGAGAGCGTTGCTGTTCTGGCCCGGCTTTCTATTTTAATTCACACGCCATTGTTGCTCAGCGCCTAAAAGAAGACGAGGCGAAGTTGAATTTCTAATGTGCAGCAGCTGCTAACAATGGAAGTGGGGGAAATCGGAGTGGCAGGTGGACGGGATTGGCGGAGGATGGGCTGCTTGATTGTGTTTTGGCTGCTTCTTCTGGCTGTTAGTTGTTGTGTGTGGATGGTGGGTATACGTGGGTATTGTATTCTTCTTTCCAAAGCATACTTATGTGCGCGTTTAAGCAATTTTTAAATCGCTGTCGTGCCTGTGTGGAAATGGTCGAATAACAAGCGACGCCACCTCAGACGCGTTAAGAGAGGAGAGGGACATTTTCATGAGATTGTGGCTTCCAAAATACTTGTAAGTGAATTTTAAAGCCAGTCGAATGGGTGTATTTTACTGTACGATGTTTTAACTTAATTGAAACCCATTTTCAATTACCTGTAAAGGAGGTCTTTCTTGCTATCCTAGGATGGTACTTGGAATACAAATAACTTACATCAATCTTACTGCACGTTAATAATATAGATAATGCCGGAAAAAGTTGATCATCTTATAATCAGAGGCTCAGAACTTTTCTTAGAACCTTTCCATATAGAGAGACATAAATCATGGGTAGATCGGCTAAGCCTGGTCGACTCATCCACCACTAAATCATGCTTGATGTTTAGCATATTAGACACATGCACAGGGTGGCAATGCTCTCGCCTCCCACACCGTCTTAATATTGATTTGCAGCCAATCTGATATCCACTCGCTCAGTCGCTGGGCCCACCCCTTCAGCTTTCAGGCTCCATCAATTTCAATTTCGCTCCGGCGGCAAATCCAAACAACGCCTGCCTCATACAATTTCTGCCACGGCCTGCAGACAGGTCCCACCATCT